GGTGTTTTTTTTTCCCTCCTCTCTCCCCTGAGACAAAGAACCAGTTAATGGCAGTTTTGTTACCCCAGTTTCCTGCGGTATTTTTGAGAGCGCTCAGTAGTTGTAAGGGTTGGAATACAGCGGAATACACAAAAAGGCAGTTTATTTTCAGCCTTGTGCAAGGCTTGCTATCGGGTTTTGAAAGTTATTTTCAGAAGTAGCCTTCCTTAGCAGACATTTTCTGGGAATCAGTTAGTGTTCAACTTGCCAGGTGCCTGATGTGCAATGCAGTGCTGTTACCAGGCTGATTACTTAGATGGCTCTGAAGTGAAGGCATCTGGTTAGGACTCTTGGCTAGTCAGAAGAAGAGACACTAATTAAACATTTCTTGCCTTTTCAGGTTTGTCCCTCTGATTAGCCACTCTAAAAATCACACCAGGGAAAATCCAGTTATCTTTAAAACAGAAAAGCATGATTAAATATTCCTCTGCTAACCAAAAAAATTAAAAAAGAAAAAACAAAGCAATCAGCTCCAGCAAGGCTAGCAGGTCATTGCTGTATTCAAACTAACTCTTATCCCTTTCAGTCTGGCAGAGGAAAGCACGAGTGATGTCATGGAATTTGCCAAAGAACCTCATTGACACACATCATTTGACCAAATTTATTTGTTTTTCAAAACTCAATTTGCTATCAAATATATATATCCACACATACAGATGGATATCTACCAGGCATCTTTAAGGCAAACCGTATCCCCAATTTTAACGTACACCAAATACACGGTATTGTTACCATTGCCAGTTTCTTAAGCCTGAAATTTTCACCTGGTTTTCAGTGCAAACAGTTTTAACATTTCCCTGTACAAGTCACCATAGATCTAATTTTAGTCTTCTAATTAAATGCATGGTAACTAGGAAGCTACCTTAAAGATCAGCAATTCCACTACTCTTTTACCAAAGCCATGGTGGGTTTGGGGGCAACTTTTCCTCTCCTCTTTATTAACCAATGTCTGGAAGGTCTTTACTCATAAGATTTCCTTCCTTGTTACTGCCAAAATTAAAGGCTTAATACCACAATAAGATCTATGCTAAGTTCACAGTGTCACAGACTTGTTCTGTGACCTTTGACAAAACTACTTTATCACAAGCATTTATACAACTGTGGTTTCAGTGATATATTTATAGGGTCCTACACATTGTAAGATAAACCTTTGTCAGTGAAAGTATTATATAATTAGCATCAGTTCGCCACTAATACCAAAATTGCTGGTAATGCTTTCATTCCTTGTGTTTTATATAGATACACACACTTGGTAACTTCTCAAACAGGATCACTCAGCATTGTTCTGAAGGTTGCATACTACATGTACACAAAACCTGCCCGACAGCCTCCACTTGTATCAAGGGCCTCTATAAAAATACAAATGTCCTTTGGCAGGATTTTTTAAATTACATATCATCTTGGGAAAAACGTTCCTGTGTACTGACAGGGTACTCTCAGGTACACTACATCTGAAAGTGAAAAATACTGTTAGATTTGCTAGCTATGGTAAAGGACATAAAATGGTACATTGCAGGTTTTTAACCCCAGATTGGCTGTAAAGCCTCAAATATTTGTTTGCTTCAATTTCATAGCCTCTATAACCTTTAAGATATTGGCAAGATGTCTGCAGATCAAAAGCTCACTAAAGTCTTAGTTAAGATATACCCCTGCGTTTCCTGGTTTGGAATTAAAATAAAAATCCGTAACAGAGCTCTGGAAAAAAGAAACATTCAATGGTCCAAAATTTAACTGCCTCTCCAAGCCCAGTTCTCTATTTGAATGTCCTTGTGACAAGACCTTTACATATTCAGAGGAGCCAGATGGAGCTGCCTTTACCTTTTACTTACAGCACTCAAAACACACCAACAGCCCTTTTTAATCTTCAAAGGTAGTGTTATCCGATTGCAGACTACAACAAGATAAAGAAAAGTCAGTACTGCTGGGTGAAACATGAGAACTGCAAACAAATCTCCACCCCGCTCATTATGCCAGTGCCTGGCACAGCCTTTCTTCTTCCCTTGCTCTCAGTCCAGCAGGGTTTCCCAAAGTTACAATAGTCTGTAGCTATGGAAGCACCTTCCGATCCCTGGGAAGTTTTCCTTTTTCCCTTCCCCTTTGAAACTCAGATGCGACTCTTTCTACAACTTCTCCACATCACGACCTGTGCTGCAAGTTCCCAGCTCACTGTCTCCATACTGCCTAACTTCTTCCCTGGGAATTCCCCCAGATGAGCTTTCTCAGGTGCTTTCTGGCACTATCTTTGCCTCACCCCCCAAAAATACTCAGACTCAATATTCCAGAGCAGACAGGACAATGCAAGGAAACAGTCCTTCTCCCTCTGCAAAGACAAGTCCTTTTATCAGAAAAGCCAGCAAAATATAGTGAGAGGTGAAGAACCCCCTGCAAAGGGTATCACCTCTATCACCTCTATCACCTGGGAAACAATCATGTGCTGTGTTGAAGAAGTCTTTTCCAGTGGTGTCTATATTACCCAAAAAGGCCCTTATACCAGTGAGTACATTTAATTGTGCACCTCACTCAAATTAATTTGAATCTGACTTTTGGTGCATGTTGCTGCTGTTTGTATGGAATGAGTGTGGAGGGGTCCACCTCAAACGCATTGATCCAATGTGGAAATGCTACACAAAAATCAGGAGAGAGTTTGGGACCTAAACATTATACAGCTTGGATGGTCACAAAACCAGTCAAAACCCTTTGAAATATTACTCTGGTTTTGTGAGGACAAAGATTGAGTTATTATTCATTTTCTTGAACTCCTACACTGAGATGTTGTAGAGAAGACCTGGCAGAACCCTACCTCCGCTGTATTTAAACATATTTTCTGAATCCTTATTGGTTCAGAAATGGTTTACAGAGACTCATGTCTTGGTTTTTGTCAAAGATAACTGAGGGGTTATGCAGGTCTAAATATAAGTCTTCATATCAGCAGTAAGAATCGAGGAAACTCTGAAATGCAGCACTTAATACTGAAGGGATCCCTAAATGATTTGTTTCTTCTCACAATCATTCAAGAACTTGAAAGTCCAGGGATTAGCCTCAAATCTCTCATTCCCATAAATTTAACAGAGGTCACAGCATGGCCAATTCAGCTGAAAAGTGTTATTACAGAAAAACTTGATGATACTTTTATGTTCACTGATGTGACCATAATTCTGTGGGTCTTTTAGCTACATATACCACATGTTATCCATAGAGACACTTCAGCAGATATATACAGTACCATGACCAAAGTCAGGAGTGATGAATTCTCTGATTTATAACTCCTACTGATAACAAGATGATAGAAAATCTTAAATATAGGGGTGTTATTATATACACACTGTTACTTCCCTCAACAGAGAAGGGTTGGGAAAGAAAAAATTATTTATCACACCTGAAGTAGGGGGACACTTCACTGCGTGACCCTTGTTGCCTGTAAAGAATTGAGCTGATCTCTAACCAATGCACAAAAATCTTAAAGACAGCACCTACAAAGCTAACCCAAAGTGTGGATGTGGATCTATAAATCTTTCCTGCTGTTAAGGAACACACACAGGAATAAAGATGAGGAGTTTTTCTTCATAAATTTCATCTTCTAAAGAGAAATCAAACTGCTGAGTTGACACTGCGCCTCTTGAAGATCAACCACTGGATTTTAACTACATAGGCACATGAAACTTTATTATAACAAAACTCATTAGTGATGAGTAGCTAGACAAATAGACCAGATCCTCCCCTGTCCATTTTAAAGCTTTGGTGACTGGCAAAACTAGCCTTAAGCAAGAGCCCCGTGGTTATATACCAATTAATGCAGAGGCTGCATCCACCCAGATTAGGCTGGAGTTGCATATCACTGCCGTAACAGTCGTCAGCGTTGGTCGCCATGTGATCTGAGAGTTTAAGCACACAGTCTAGATAAATATTAATTTGTTAATCTTTATTAGAAAACTGCTTTTAAAGCTGATTTGCAGTGAAGTCAGTCAGATGAAATCACTGCACACTAAACAATCCTGTTAGGGATGTTTATCCAAGCAAAGGACATTCAATTGCATTTTCATTAGTAGCACTATATGATTATTGTCCTTAAAGACAAGGCTCTTAGATTTAATCTAGTTGCTTACAGTTGAATTTTCTTGAGAAGTGAAAGCTAATTTTTACTACCCTTTAGCATTACAAAATCAGGTTGCCTGTAGATTAACCAAAGAAAGTTTTGAGGACTGAAGGTGGTCCTGGTCAGTATCGCAGCTCTAGCAGTGCTGAGGACTCTCTGAAACCTGAAGGAGTTGTGGGTTATCCAATTCTAATGATGAAAGTTATTAAATATAACATTATTTAATGAGAAAGTCACTGGCTGTGATGAACAGCAGGCACTTTGTCTATCAGGAAAAGTGTGTTTTTTAAACAGAAAATAGGATGTTTCTCTGCTAACTTCTACACAGCTCAAGAAGATGAGAAAGATGGTTGATCTCATCCTTTTCACTTTCTATAGCAGTTTGATGGAAGGACAAGTCCTCCCATTAAATGAGGGGGTGAGTTTCTGGTTTCCTTGCCTTATATCACTGCCTGCTTTCCTACCCATGGGACAAAGACAGTAGAGCCCAAGGCAGAATTCACCACTGGCTTACTGAAAAAGAGAGCTGTCTGAGATGTCTTCTTCAGCCTCAAAACAGCCATGGATTTTGGGAGCCTGAAGCCTTTTTTTTTTTTAAACGGGGAAAATACAGTTTCTTTCATAATGGTGCTTTTCAGTTTTTAGCTTGTTACCTACTCCCTTGACTATCCTTGCTGGGAAGATGACACTGCATTTTATATTATGTTCACACGTATTTGTACTGATTTTGTAGTAATAACATCAGTTTAAGTCAGGGTATATTTTATTTAAAAGTCAGATTTCTCCAATTATCAGTTACAAAAATCATTTCTACCTAACAAAATGTGTATTACAACATCAGTAAATAACATTTTTGTTTCTTGTACAGCTTTGCAGTAAAGGTGCTGTTATAGACGACCTCTTTGAGTCATCTCCAGAAGATATTTCCGGTATCACCAGTTTTATTGATTCAAAGCTTGTAATCTGCTACTTGAAACTGAGGAAGCCTGATGATGCTCTGAATCATTCACACAGGTAAAAATAAGTAATATTGATTAGATACACTTCTAAGACTGAAATAAAAAGTTAAATGAAGACTATGAATTAATCTCATGCAGGAAGAATCAGTCTAATAATGAGAAAAGAGGGATCAGTAAGACACAGTTTATGTATGTCACTGATGTTTAGATTGTGCTAATTCTCAAAAGTTTGAGACATTAAGCCACAATAGCCATATGTACACTTACTGCTTTGATAAAGCAGTAGGTAAAGATATTCCAGGTGTATCATGTACATAGTTCAGGACCCCCTTAAGGCTGAAGATAGATCAAGAGCTCATAATATGATTACTGTCTTAAAAGTCTGAGCATGTTTATATTTGTCTTTTTCAAGGCAGATTAGGTCAGGGATGGCTTCAAATTATTTTCATTACATAATTCCTCATGGGCTCACTTGTGATCCACATCAAAAGACCAGCACCACCAACAATGCATAAAGAAGCCAGAAACAAAACTGGCACATGGTGGAGATGAAATTCTCATTCGTTTCAGATGAGTTAGGATTTTGCTGGGTTTGTGCTGCCTTTAATTAGCATTCAAGCATAACGATAGTTTGTTAAGTACGTGCACGTCCTGCCAGCAATACTTCATTATTGAGGTCTGTGTTCTTTTTTTCCCCTTGTGCGAGATGTATTAAGATGGACACTGCAATAAGTACAGGATGAGGATTTTTTTTAATACAATCATCTCAGATGGTTGTAACTACAAAAGACTAGTTAGAACAAAAAAGGAGGTACATGCTCATGCCTAATCCACAGGAGATGGTGGCAAAGAAAAATGTGTTGGTATAGAAGTGTGGTACTGTCATGGCAAGAGGTTCATTTAGCTACATACAAAGTCATGGGAAGTCTGAGAATCCTGACGTAATGACGAGGTCTTCATCTCCCGTCGCCACTCATCCCCACCACTTTCACAAGCATTTCTTGTCTGTAAAGCTATGCCTACCTGGCACCTAAATGCATGGTGGGGGTGCATCCTTCAGACTAGTTCCAAGTGCCATTCTGGGTTGACTGCTTGAATGCCCACGAGTGGTTAGAGAACATTAAGTGCACCCCCAGGGCATGTCTAACAGGGACACAACCTCTATTCTTCTCAGGTGGAGTATTCTGTTAGGTGAACCAATGCATAAGAAATGGGGAAGACTGGGATTTTTTAGTTTTAACTACAGGAATCTCAGTACCACAGCAACCACTACAATGATCAAAAAAAACCACACAAACAAACAAAACAAAAAAAATATCGCAAAACACCCACACCCACCACACCATTCCATTCCTCATGCGAACTAAAATCCAAGCATATTTTTTCATGGCTTCTGAAAGACCATGTCGGTAAAAAAATATATATATAAGTTGACTCCCAGCTTATGGACAAATGGTAATGATCACACTCTTATTCTTACTGTGGTTTTCAAGACCACTAAAAATCAGAAAGAGATTTGGACAGCGTAAATATAACTAGATCAGGAAATACTTTAGCTCCTTTAAATTATGTTGATTTCAAAATAGTAAGATGTATTGACCCCAGTGCTACAGATACTAAAACCTATTCAGACATGCTTTGGTGTCAATTGTCTTAAAACAGAAGCCATGATCTACAGATCCCCATGGTTTACAGAGAGAATAAATGCAGTCAGATCGAGATCACTGGAAAACTGAGGGAGGGAACGTGGTTTTTCTTTTCTATATATAATTCTAAGATTTTTTTCTTAACTCCCTTAGTTACACAGCTCAAAGAAAAATGGCAATCAGCAATACTTATTTTCCACATAATTCAGCTAATAACATGAAAAATGGGAAGAAATCTACTGACCATAGTTGTCACATCGTAAAAACGCAAGAACTGATAAAATAGTATACCAGTAAAAAAATATTCTGAGACATAACTAACATAAAGATGAAACTGGAAATATGATCAATAGCTATGTGTTTCAAAAAGTACGAAATACTATGACCTCTCCTACTATAAATAGCTTCCTGTCATCAGTTAACTAGCCCATATAGAATTTTTATTCCCATTGAGTTTTTATGTCATCACCACATTGTAATGGTTTGCTGGTAATCCTTTGGCATTAATCATGAATCCAAATTAAAATATTCATTTCTGCATTTATTTGCATTTCCTGAACTATTCTTTCTTTAATTTCATGTAAATTCTACAGCTCTTGCACTCATTTCTGAAGCCTTATTAGTCAAAAAGCAGCTTTAATATTCTCACACATAGTTGTATCAAATATATTGCAGTGGGTTTTGCTAGGAAGCAATCTTACAGAATATCACAACTAGAGAAATTAGAAATATTCCAGCAACTGTGTTTTAAAGTGTTCAAAAACAGGCATCTTCAGGGGAATAGCTTTCCCATTCTTAAGAAAGGAAAGGGAGTACAATTTATATCATCAGCTTTAGATTCTGCACAAAAAGCCAAGTCCTGGTCCCCCTGAAAAGTGGAAATTATGTTCTCTGGTTTCTTAATATCAAAATTTAAGGCTGCCTTTAGCAACAATGGCACGACTGCAGACACTGGCTGGGTTCTGATCATTTTTCAGGCTGATACAAAAGATTTACCCTTTGCAATCAAACACTATTAAACCACTACTCATCCGTCACAGCTCTGAACAAACGTGTCATGGATTGACCTCAACAAGCAGTGTCTGCTGTAACCTACTTGACCACCACTTTTCATCATAAGATAGCCATCAAAATAATTCCTAACTTGCAGTCTGAAGCTATAAAATGAATCACACAATATTTACATGCCCTGTGGTACTTTTGGCCCAGGCATTATGGCATACCAGGGTTTAATGATCTTAATAACCCCATATGGCTTGCTGAGAAATTAGATTTTCCCTTTGGTTGCAGAAGGCAATTTTCAATTATAGCAGATGGCAAAACAGTGAAGGTCTGAGAAGTCAAGAACTGACTAAGAAACCTCAGATTAGTACTTAGGCCTTATGCTGCTCAGCCTAGTAAGTGGCTGAATTTTTGCCCCAAAAGAAGACAATCTTGAAGTAGAGGAGAGCTTTTCAGCAGAGCAGTCCCCCAATTATGCCGGCTTTTCAGAAGGCCAGGCCCATCAGAGAAATCCATAAAACTGCAGTCGCATGTAGAAAAACAACCCACGGTGCATCACGAACACAGCTCAACAACTGTTAAGATCAGTTTTGTTTGAAGTTGGAGAGAGCAATGTTGAAATCCATGACAACTGAAGATGGAGGCTCCTTCAAAACATGATATACACAGCTTTCTTGATGAGACACTATATGCCCTTACAGTTTCTTTGTCTATTTTGCTTTTTATCTTTAAGCAAGCTAAAATAAATCTGTTTGGACACCATGTGACTTGCTGTTCACACATGGGAAAATAACACAGAACCTTTCTATTGGAAATACGCTTTTTGCCACCTCACTTACACTTCCTCAGCTGCTGTAGTCCTCATGGCACACAAGGTTTGAAGAATAACAGACGTAAGGTTTGATCCAGTTGCCTAAACATAGACTGGTGTTCGTAGAGATCCTGTACCTTAATCAAGCACTAGAAAACATGGAAGAGCTTAACAGCATCTACCCAGCAACAAGCGACAAAAAGCATTTTCTTTCATTTCTGCCTACTTTTGATCACTCCCTGCCCAGGTGTGGCATGGCTGCTGGTGCCATAAGATTCCTTGGGAAACAAGTCTGCTCACAATAGGTGAAAAGTCACACCTCTTCCCAATGGGATTGTCATCATGCCATAGGAAGCCCACAGGTGACGGTTGGAGGTGCCATCTGGAAAGATGTTTGCAACCTTTCTCCTTCCAGAACATCCCTGGGCTTTGCTCCCTGCCCTCCTTCCCTCAATCTGAACATAAGAACCAAGGGGAGGAAGAATCAGACACTGTGGGATGTTCCTTTAACATTATCTCTAAGTAATGCCTAAAAAATAAGTTTATGATAATGAGTACTACTGTACGCAGCTATCCAACATCTTTGGGGGTTAGCAAAGATTTTCTTGTGTCCTTGCAGACTCTGCTCTGCAGCATAACCCGCTGCCAATTCTCTCCCTCCCTCCCAGAAAGGCAATGCATAGAGAACGTAATAAATCTGTAAAGCTTTTTCTGCTATGCCTTTTTATGTGTTTGGTGGAAGGCAGGGCTCTCTAATGCCTCTTGCACAATTCACAGAGAGACACACGAAGTAGAAAATAGCACCTCTGTTAAGTAGTACACGATTGCTATAGCTATGACTTAACAGAGGGAATCTCTTACGGACCCACAGGGGGAGGGGGAAAAAAAAAAACACCACAACTAAAACAGCTGAAGCTTCACAGATTTAAGTCTAAATCCTCTGCCTTCTCCCCCAGTGACTTTTCAAACACTTATAGATAGCTTAAAATAATTATTAATGATCAAGCCTTTTTTCTGACAGATATTGCATAAAGCATCTCAAAACTTGGTCAGTGTATTACTGGCATAATAAGTCAGGACTCCCTAATTCAGAACTTTCAGACTAAAAATCCAATATTCAGCTACTGCATTGCCTAGCTTCCTTATTTTGCACCTTTAAAAT